AACAACATTGAAGAGTCGAAGAGGCGTGTTCAAGCCTTAAGAAGCTTGTTGGGCTGCTGGGACAGTTACTTTGTAAAGGAAGAGAACTTGGGGCCAACCAAACGCAAAATCAAATAGGCGTGAAAACGGTAAAAGAAACAGGTGCCATAAACGTTGTGTCGTATGGCAGTCCCAAAAGAGATGGTACGGGGTTTCCAAAATGGTACAACCATGAACACAGTTCGTGTCGTAAGTATGCCAACGATACTTGAATCGAAAAGCTAGTCCATTGTGTTGTAGGCGAAATAAGAAATCTGAATAAACAGGGAGGATGTCACGTTGGAGAAATCGCTCAAGCGACCACAGGGAAAAGGTGAAAACCACATCCGAAATTGAAAGCTGAAGAAGTGGTAGGGGAGGTGGGTCGTGTTCCAGCAAAAGGCGCTTAGTAATCGTGTTAGAGGCATGAACGATGTCGAGACCGTCGAATGTCCAGACATGTAGCGCGCAAACCAGTGCCTCCGGTGGGAGTGGAAAATCGTAAAGTTCTGATAGTGTAATGGTACTTCGAGTCTTCGGGCAAGTTTTTGAACTACTGAAGTCATGGAGCGCCCGGGCTTGATAGAAGAGCAAGCGAGGGACTCCCTGAGTGTTATTTCATTCGGAATCCAACCAAAAAGAGAACGAAAAGTTGAAATTCGCAAGACACCTTGATGGATGAGATAGTTGTACGCCTTGCGATGTAGTTGCGCTAATGTACGGTTGGCTTTCGTGAAACGGAGAAATACATTATTCCAAATTGGCCACGTAAGCTTGGTCAGGACCGGGTTCAAACACTAGAGCTTGATGACGATTTGGAGCTCCATGTAGCAATAGCAGCCTTCCAATATGTGAGAACGGCGTTCCAACGTGAGGTTGATGCCAGGTGAGAAAACGGAATATAAACCGGCGCCTTGACCTTCAAACGCATCATCAATCGCAGTTTGAGCTGGGATAAATCATTTAGGCAGAGTCAGGTAGTTTAGACGGGCTTGACGAATTAGCTGACGTATGAGGTTTACGTGATGTAGCTCCACCGAGGTAGCAACGGTGGGCAAGTAAAGTTTGCCTGCCGAAACCCCAACAGGGTGCCATGAGCTTGGAAAGTGGCTGCGTATCGCAGAATCGGACACAGATGTTGAGGGTGTGCAGTTCACGAAGTTTCGCATGAGCGGGTTGAACTTGAAGAGCTCTTGTTTTAACACAGAGACTGTTCCCAAGAAGTGCCAAAGAGTGGACAAAACCATGGTCTTTAAAATTAGCACTCTCCCTGAAAGGGTGCGTGCGCGCCATCTCCAAGTGACACAGAGTTTCTGGAAGCGGACGAGAAGTTGGTTAAGCTGGAATTGCGGACTAATGATTGGTCCAACGGCAATACCGAGAAGCGTTGTATACATTTTCCCATGACTCGAACGCCTAACTCGTGAAGTTGGTTTTGGAGTTCGAAGTCCGCGGGCGTCCATGGTCTTAACGGAAAAATTACTGTCTTGTCCACGCTAAGCCGCATACCAGTCGCAGTGCAGAATTCGTGAACTCGGCATAAAAATTGGGGAGTATATGAAAGGTTATTAACCAAATCAGTGACATCGTCGGCGAAGCTGAGGATACGGTGGTACGTGGTGCGAATTTTGATGGCTGAGTTGGCACAAGTAGCCCGTAAATACTATAGTAGTGGCTCAATAAAGAGCACGAATAACCCTGAAGATAATGGGTCGCCTTGACGTACACCGGCACCTAAGCCGAGGAATTCCGAGCGTGAGGAGTTGATCAACACTTGAACAAGGTACCGGGAAAAAATGTCTTAACCCAATCTCGAAAATTGCATCCAAAACCCCAGTGAATAAGAACTTGATCTAAGGCATGCCAATTGACACTATCGAAAGCTTTGGCGAAGTCAAGGCAAATAGCTCCGGCAGGGACTCTCGAACTTCTGTGCCGGCCTTGGTCTGATAAATCGTGGAAATATCGAAGAGCATGCCGGATGTCCCGTCCAGGCACGATCCAAATTGGTCTTCGTTCAGTAAACTGGGTAGAACTTTATTGAGACGATAGGCTAATGCCTTTG